AGGTAGCATGACTGGGCATTTTATTTTTTTATTTTTTATTTTGTCTTTTTTTTTTTTTTTTTTTTTGTTTTTTCTCCGGTACCGGGAACCGAACTCACGACCTTGCACTTGCCAGGCAGGCGCTTTTGTCGCTGAGCTAAATCCCCAGCCCCTTATTTTATCTTTTTGAGACAAGGTCTTGCTATGCAGTTCAGGCTGGATTTGACCTCACTTTGTAAGCCAGGCTGGCCTCGAACTCACAGTGATCCTCCTGCCTCAGCCTCCTAAGTGCTGGGATTGTAGGTGTGTGTCACCACACCCGGCTTTTTCATTTCTTTTTTTTGGTTTGTTTATTTTTATTTATTTATTTATTTACTTTGAGACAAGGTCTCGCTATGCAGTTCAGGCTGGATTTGACCTCACTTTGTAAGCCAGGCTGGCCTCGAACTCACAATGATCCTCCTGCCTCAGCCTCCCAAGTGCTGGGATTACAGGTGTGTGTCACCACACCTGGCTTTTTCATTTCTCTTTTTTGTTTTTGTTTATTTTATTTTATTTTTTTGAGACAAGGTCTTGCTATGCAGTTCAGGCTGAACTTGAGCTCACTTTGTAGCCCAGGCTGGTCTCGAACTCGCAATGGTCTTCCTGCCTCAGCCTCCCAAGTGCTGGGATTACAGGTGTGTGCCACCATGCCTGGCTTTAAATGTTTCTAAGGGCTCCAGATATAGCTCAATGGTAGAGGACCTGCCTAGCGTGTTGAAAACAAACAAACAAACAAACCTTTAAATGCCTTTCTTTCCAAGTTCCTCAAATTTATACCTTTATAATTGTGTCACTGAACTACGTAACACAAGAGATTATCCTATGAGGGGCCCAAAATTAGAGCTAACAGGATATAGGAGTTGTATTTACATTCGGGCCATGTCCACCACCGCTTTAAATTTCTCTACATAATCCCATCACTCAGAATGTGCTGCAAACTTGATAAATCTTAATTTAAAAAGAGGAATATTTGGCAGACAGAAGTCTTCTTGCCCAGCAACAGCCTCAGGTCAGTCCTGTGTGGGGCTCGTGTCTGCCAGACCACCGCTGGCTGGCACTGGCTGTGACTCTCCTTCTTCCGAAACTCCACCACACAGAGAGGCACAGGCATACTTGGCTTTCTTTCTTTTTTTTTTTTGTGGGTACCAGGAGTTGAACTCGGGCCCTCGCGCTTGGGCAGGTGTTGTGCCACTGAGCTGTATCCTCGGCCCCTGTATTTGGCTTTTGATGACAGACTGTCCTATTCTGTAATATTTGTTTTATGTGTTAGCTTTATATTTTTTTGACTAAACAGTTCATCCCATCGGGGCAGGAATCCTATCTTGTGTTACCTTTTGTATTTCCCATAGCACTGAAAAGTCCCGAGTACTGTAAGCGTTTAATAAATATTTGCTGACTGATTTCTCTTTTGGAGCTGTGGAGTGTAAATTCTATGACTGTGCCGTTGTCCTTCAACGTCTGCGTGTGTCTCTCTGTGTGTAGGGAGCAGTATCTGAACATCACAAATACACTCCAGGCAGGGAGTGTGCAGTCAGAAAAGCCAAAGACACACATCTCCACCTGGGTGGGTAGCTTCCCCTTAGTTTGTCATGTATAACCTGGGGGCACATAGCGACAGCCACTCCAACCATCTCCCAGGATTACTGGGAGCTTTGTAAAAGATAACATGTACTTACAGCACATGTGATTATTATCTAATCCACATGAAATGGGACGGACAGGGGAGTGGAGGAGGCATGCACGTTAGTGTGTGGAAAGGGGGTCACAGTTGACCCCACTGATTTTGGTCCCACCGGCTGGGGACAGTGGGTTTTATCACACTGGGCTGTTATTTTCCTAAGTGTTTCTTCTAGGCAGCAGGCTTAGGTAATCTTCCTCTTCAGACCCTACCCCAGGCCAAGGCCACCAATTCTGCCTCATAACATGGAAACTCATAGCCCAGCTCTCTGCCCTGCCCTCCGCTCAGCTCAGGTCCTTATCTTTTAGATTCTGCCTCTTCTTGCCTCATGTGGAGTGCGGTTATTGTCTTACAAAAGCAAGTCAGACCACATTACTCCCCACTTTAAGCTTCTGTATTGGACAGATGCTGCATCTATACGTAGAGAGGAAAGCCCCGTTATGAGATCTTTGCAATCACAAGACAGGCAGGCACTGGATACATGCGCTGAGCTAGAGAAGTGGGAAAGATTTGAGAAATACATAAAACATATAAAACCAACCTCCCTATGTTTGTGTGTATTGTTGTACAAAACGTGAACAACAGTATTTCTATAATTTCTTCTATTAACTTATAAATAAATATCTTTTGCAAATCTACCACTCTAGGCACCAAAGATATACGAGAACATAGACACAGACCATAACCTCTTATAGCTTGTTCTTTTGAGGAGAGAAAGAATACAGCAAGTAGAAAATAAACAGGAAGTCAAGCAGACCTAAGTGATGGTGAGGTCGGAACTTCCTGAGATAAACTGGTAAGGGGAACCTCTGCCAAGGTGATATGTGAGCTGAATCTCAGTGAGAGAGAGCAGGGAGAAGAGACAGGTCCGGAGAATATTTCACATAGAAACGAAAAGAGCAAAGGTGCTTGGGAGAGAAATAGTTTGGCTTTTTTTTTTTTTTTTTTGTCTTTTTGAGGCAGGGTCTTGCTATGCAGTTCAGGCTGGCCTTGAGCTCACTTTGTAGCCCAGGCTGGTTTTGAGCTCACAACAATCCTCCTGCCTCAGCCTCCCGAGTGCTGGGATTACAGGTGCGCCACCACACCTGGCTAGTTTGGCATTTTTTTGAGAAAAGCATGCACATGTGAGGGCCCGGCAGTGCACTGGGGCAAGTCTTACAGGATGGGTGGAAAGGGAGGCAGTGACCTTAAAGCCTTTGCAATCATTATGAGGAGGTCACATTTTATTCTAAGACTGGAAACCATTAGGTGGCTCTGAGCCAGGGGAATACAGCACAGTTTATACTTTTAGAATCATTTTGGCTCCTCAGTGAAAAAGAGATTACAGGGGTCAGGGCGGAAGTGGCAAAATTGAAGCAGGATGATGGGGCACTGTCCCTGCTGGGTTCCTTGGTGACTTGGGTAGGAAGCGTCAGGGTGCGGAGAGAGGTGGTCAGCCCCCGAGACTGTCTAAGAGGCCACCCAGCCTGACGAGATGTGAAGGTGAGAGGCCGGGAGGACTCATGGCTGGCTTGAGTTGGCGGGAAATGCCATTTTCTGAGATGACTGGAAAAGCAAAAGATTTGGGAAGAAAAGTCGACTTCAACTTTGCATCATTTTAAGTGTGACACGCGAGTCACTTCAGTGAGGCTGACAAATGCCAGTTGGAGGGCTAAGTTGGAGGCTCTGGGAGAGGTTCTGTTGTAGATTTACTTTTGTGAGTCACCCACGTGGTGGTGATGTTACCAGTCATGGGGCTGGGACGGATCACCCAGGGAGAGCTGGTAACCAGATCAGGGAGTAGGGTGGAGGGCAGCTCTGGAATTCTCCTGCACTGGCCAGCAGAGAACGCGGGGCCGAGGGGCTAGAGGGAGTGCGGTGGGGGCTGGAACCCAGCAGAGCGAAGGAAGCCTCTGGCTCTGAGTGGGCAAGGAAGAGGTGTCCGTGTCCGGATGGAGGATGTGGTCTTCCGGCCCCAGTATGGGTGAGAGACGGAATAAGGCTAGCACAGGGAAGGGAACAGAGCACGAGATTTGCAACATGTAGGTCACCGTGGTGATTAGGACCAATCACTAAAGTGCTAAAGTGATTAGCACTCTGGGCCCAATCCTGACAGGCAAGGGAGGGTGAGGATGTGTATTCAGCGAAGTTATCCACCTTTCAAGTTTTGCGGAGCGGCTGGGGCATGGATAGTTTTCCCTGTTGATCCGTAGGGTATTCTTGTTTTCCAACACAGCCCGTTTATTTCTCATATAGTGATAATATGTGCGCACATTGCAGGAGCACCCCACTGAGAGAAACTGCTCAGCAGAACACGGCAGACCCTTACCTTCCCTCCACTGTGACTTCTCCAACCCCAGGCTCGTGCTTCCCCACTGGTATCGATCTTGTGTTTTTTGAGGTTGGCATTTCATTGCCACTCCACCGACATACATAGACTTGGAGTCTGGTGCCTGGCATTAGATCTGCCTGGGCTCCTGCTCCTCTGTGCATCTGTAAGCCACCCCGCCCTACCCAATCCCACACAAGCCCGGATCATCCAGTTACACACATAGCATCCACCTAGTCTCACCCACAGCTGCAGACAATGCCCCGTTCCCACTGTCTACTTCCCTGGCTTCTAGAAAGGCAGGACATTATAATGGGGAAGAGCAGGGTCTCAAGTCAGAGGCATGTGGGCTTCTTTCTCCATCTGCGACTCGCTGGCTGTGTGATCTTGGGAAAATCAGTGCTATGCCTCGATTCTTTTCTGCATCTGTAAAGCGGGGTTGGTGAGACTCACATTCCTATCAGTGATGTGAGGGTTAGACGGGCCGACTTTTGTAATCTTGGTATAGAGTAAGCAGCAGCTAAGGCGACTCACTTCGCATGCGTGGACGGGTTGAGCCAGACTGGGCGAGAATAAGGATGCTTCAGACGTGTGCCGGAGCCCCTCATGTGATTCCGAGGTACCAGACGCTGTATCTCTCGGCACAGGGCGTGTGCTGGTCCAGTGACTTGTCTTTCCAGGCGTCCCGCCTCTCCTGGGTCTGCGATCACGCGCCCCCCACCCGTAGCTCGGGCTGACGCGGCGGTGGCTCATGCGCCTTTGCGTCCCAGCTTCTTGCCACGGAACACACGTCCCATCCCGAGTGCCAGGCCCCGCCCCGCGCCCCAGGCGCGCCTCTCCAGCCAGCCGGCTCGGGTGTCAGAGCAGCCGCGCCCGCGGCTCGTGCGCGCTGATTGGCTGTGCCGCGCCAGCGGGCGGCCCGCGGGCGCACACACCCTCTGGGCGCAGCCAATGGGAGTGCGCACGTCATTGAGCGGGCGGCCCGGGAGCCGGCAGCCCTTCAATAAGCCACATTGTTGCACGAAACTCCAGCGCTGAAGTCCCAGGCCACTAGCAACGTCGTGTCACTCAGCTAAGAAGATTCGCTCGCTGGAGCATCCTGCGAGGGAGCCGGAGAGGTCCGACTGCTTAGTGGAGCTTGACTGTGATTCTTCCTAAGTGACCCTGTGGCTGAAGTTAGCGGCTGGACCCTGGGTGACTAAACAAGTCGCCTGGCGTGAGACTTAGGCAGCTTCTAGCAATTGTGACTCCAAAAACCTATTTCTAGAGATCCGAGACCCCACCGCCCGCCCCAGCCGGCCCGCAATCGCTATTAGCCTGCTTTGGGCGCCGCCTGGGACCTCCGTTCCCGTCCAGGCAGCCGAGCCCGGGTACAAAGCGGTCGGACCGCGCCACTAGCCTCCCCCGCAAGCCCTTGCGCCTTGGTTTCCCAACTCCACGCCGCCTGACCGCAACAGGATGATTGCCTCGCATCTGATCGCCTGCCTCTTCACGGAGCTCAACCGTAACCAAGCGCAGAAGGTAAGTCAGCGTGTGCGGGGATGGCGGGAGGCTCACTTTCGACAAAGTTGCGTGCTCTCCCGGAACTCCCGGGTCCTGCTTCCTCCTCGTTCGGGGCTCGGGACGCGGAAAAAGTCGGGTAGCTGGGAAACTCCGACGCACGAGGAGCCACGTCCGCTAGGCACTGGCAGGCCGGCGCGCGCGTGGGGTGCTCCCCGCCCCCGGCCCTGCGCGCTCTCCCCCTACCCTGTTTTTTTTCTTGTTTCTGGAGGGGCGCAGGCCGGCACGTAGTCAAGGACCGCCGGGCCCACGTGGGAGGAGCCCCCCTTCGGAAGCCCGAGTTCCGGCGAGAGCACGTGGGGAGGACCGCGGCTGGGGGAGGAGGCTCCGTGGCCGCGTGGGGGCAGCTGGGGGCCTCCAGCGCTTAGGGACGCGTTGAGGAAGCGTGCGGTTTCTCCTGCGGTTCCTCACCGCCCCGCCGAGGCGGCCCGAAGGAAAAGCAGACCCGGGAAGGAGCGCGGGGAGGGACGTAGAGGAATTCAGCCGGCTGCCCCTTCCCCGGAACTGAGGCTCCCGGAACTGAGGCTCGGCGAGGGGCGCCCGCGCTCCCGCGATCCGCCCGCCAGATCTGCCTCGGGACTGCCCCGCGTCGCCTCCTGGAGATTTGCGCCCCATTTGGGGGCGGGCTTTGGACACTTTCATTTGCGCTTAAAAGTTACTCTGAACGGACGCTCTCCGTACTCCCACCCCGTTTTCCCAGATTTTTTGAGATTTTTGTTCTGAAAACGAGCTTTCTTTTCTGCCAAAGGCCCTGATCGTCTGCTACCTGGATCTTGCCTCCCCCACCCTCCAGCCGGAGCTCTCACTGCGGCTCGCCAGTCATTTACATAAGAAAGAGCCTCAGGCCTAGGCGGGGTTCTCACTCTCCCTGCCTCGGGGTGTGGAGGTGAGGGTAGGTCGGGGCCGGGCTCAGGGCGCTCAAACTCGAGAGTGAGTTGAGTTTTTGAAAAGCTCAGGATTCAGGGATTTCCCCCTGGCCGGCGTCTTGGCTAGAATTTGAGGGAGAGGATGGTCGGGGGCTAGGATTGGGAGAGTTATTTTAGGTCTGTGAGTTAAGTACTGAGTGTTGCTCAATTACATACTTGAAATTTCACTGTCTGATGGGACACATTTTAGGGGAGATGTCTGGACGTCGTGCTACGTGTGGGTTTACCTGCCCTATCCTCCTTCTGGTGGTCCTGGGTCATTGGAGAGTATGAAGAGCTGATGTTTCCAAAGCCGTGGAAGATGAGTCTGAGATGTGAGGAGGGAGCAGAGGCTCCTGGTTCAGTTGGGTTTTACTGTTTGTGAGCCGCTGTTGCTCTAAACTCTTCTAGGGACGTGGCCCTGCACTTTAATTCAGTTTATTTGAAACGTGTCTGTGAGCTGGCAGGATCTTGGCAACTTCTGTATGTTTCTCTGCCCAAGATATGAGCTAACTCTTGGGGGAAGACTGTCATCTCTTGGCAAGACCTGAAGTACAAAGTGGAGGACCATTAATCCCGAGGAGGTCTTCTCATTTGAGTGAATATTGCTCCAGGCAGGACATTTACGTTCTTTCACAAGTTTACTTATTTACATTACTCCTGTGGCCTGGGACCTAGAGTGGAAATAGATTTATTTACTTATTTATTTAGTCTTTTTTTGAGACAGGGTCTCAGTATGCAGTTCAGGCTGGCCTTAAGCTCATTTTGTAGCCCAGGCTGGGTTTGAACTCACAATGATCCTCCTGCCTCAGCCTCCCGAGTGCTGGGATTACAGGCGTGCGCCACCACGCCCGGCAAGGAAATCAATTTAGCTAGAGTATCTGGAAGTGATTTCTAGGCCCCAGGCACTACAGGACCTTATAGCCTCTGGGGACCATCCATTCCTTTTTGTAAGACTTGGAAGACTTTGTGATGGTTGAGTACAGTGGGAAAACACCTTTCCTGTAGGCATCTTTTCTCCACAAGTGCAGCCAGCCACCTTTCAGCCTGTGAAGTTTCCCTGAGGACACTGGATGTATTTCTTCCAAGTTACCAATGGGGGCAGAATTGAATAAGACCTTTTACTCACCAGGTGTCAGGCGTGGGATTTAGACTCCCAGCTTAGGTGAATAGAGCTGTTGATCCCACCTGCAATTAGGAGGAAGAGAATAGAATATTTTGGGTGTGTCCTGATGAGTTGCTCCTGGAAGGAAACAGAAGGCCAAAGATTGAGTTTTAGAGTCTTCTGAAAAGGCCTTGGTTTGGATTATTCTGAAATACACTTGTGATGACATCATCTTATACATTATAGTCTGAGGGCTTTGAAGATTTAGGGAAATAGCACCATCCGGCTCCTGGCGGACAAACCCAGTGTTTTGTGGCATTGGGAAAGAGTGTTATTGCTCAGGTTTGCCAGTTAAAACTTTGGAAATCAGGTGCAAACACAAAGCATGGACTGTAATGACACAGGTTAGTTCATTAACATTGAAACAACTCCATGTGGTAAGTATGCATGTTTTGTGCATCTTTATTTTCCTGTGAGCAACTGAGACACAGAGGAACTTGCCCAAAGTCAAGGTTTTTGTAAGAGCACTGTGTTCCTTTTTTCTTTTTTTTTTCTCTTTTGTAAGACACCACGCTCTTAGCCACATGCTCACCTGTCTCTGGCCTCCTGGTGTGTGCCACTCGTGGATGCTGGCAGAATTTCCCCCCAGTAAGTCTGGAAGTGGACTAACTCCTGCTGGGTCTATCCCTGGCATCAGTACTCACTGGCTATTCCCTTTGGGAGCCCTGGATTCATTTTCACCAACCTTCTTTTTTCACTGCTACATCTTCATCACACGGTGTGCGGGTTACTTCAGAGGGTTACGCGGTTTCTTTTCTCATCTCTTTCTGGACCCAGGCTGGATTATTTCAGAAGCCTTGTACAACTCTCTTGGCTACCGCAAGCCACCCGGTTCTACTCCTTATTCAGCCGCATCTTTTCTCCATCTTTTCATTCTGCAGAGACTTGAGTCACCATTGCTCTGTTACGCCTGTTCACCTGAGGTCGTTCTGCCCTTGCCTTTGCTGTTTCCCTGAATGTTCAGCCTGACTTCTGCGCTGTTTATAACTCCCTGCTCTCCAAAGCTCCTTCCTCTTTCACAGTTTTTGCTTTCTACCTCGCCTGGGTGCCCATGTTGCTGAACTTGAGTCTTTCAAGGCATTCGTTTCATTTTGCCATACATTAGAATTGGTAGTGTTCAGTTCCATTTGCTTCCTGAGGGCGGGGAGGATCCTGGCTGTTCAGTTTTGTCACCACAGCTTCTTGTCACTGATGGGTGCAAGAGACACTGATGGGTGTCTCTCTTTGTGGAGAAAACAGAGCAAGGGATGGGTGGGTAGACCCTTGGAGGGAAAGCAGTTCTCTTTTTTTTTTGTTTGTTTTTTTTCTGGTACCGGGAATGAAACTCAACGACCTTGCGCTTGCCAGGCAGGTGCTGTGCCGCTGAGCTAAATCCCCAGCCCCTATTTTGTCTTTTTGAGACAGGGTCTCCCTCTGCAGTTCAGGCTGGCTTTGAGCTCACTTTGTGGCCCAGGCTGGTCTCAAACTCACAACGATCCTCCTGCCTCAGCCTCCCGAATGCTGGGATTTCAGGCGTGCGCCACCACACCCCGCTTGGGGCTGGTCCTTCTTGAAGCCTGGCCTGAGAGGACTGATCTGCAGGGCAGGGAGGGAGGGGGAGTGGTTCCTTCCCCAGCAATCAAGGCTTGTATCCTCTGTGTGTATGTGGGGGAGTCATTTCACTGAGGCAAATTAATGCAAGATTTTTGTCTCTGAAAATTAAAATCAGCTAACTATAGAAGTGCAATGGAGTATATAATCCTTTCTTTTGCCATTGATCAAACTCCAGTGCTGCAATAGATAGTGCTCACTTAGGCTCCTTACTATATACAGGGTATATTGTATATAGCATATATACTTCATACCCTTTCATGCACACTATGTGGCTTTCAACGTGGACTTAAGTGGGGGGCTGTCTTTTTTTTTTAATCTTATTTGGACAGGCACTATGCATTTTAGGCTGGCTTTGAGCTCACTTTTTTTTTTTTTGTCTTTTTGAGACCCTGTCTCACTATGGAGTTCAGGCTGGCCTTGAGCTCACTTTGTAGCCTAGGCTGGTCTCGAACTCACAATGATCCTCCTGCCTCAGCCTCCCGAGTGCTGGGATTTCAGGGATGTGCCACCACGCCCAGCTTGAGCTCCCTTTGTATCCCAGGCTGGTCTCGAACTCCCAAGGATCCTCCTGCTTCAGCCTGCTGGGATTACAGGTGTGGGCCACCACGCCCGGCCTGAGTGGGGGCTGTTTTGAGCGTAGAAAGATTCAACATAGCCTATTAGAAACACTGAAGAACTTTCGTGTCTTCTGAGAACTTACTAAGGGTGCGGGGCCCTCTGCGTGCTATGTGAGAAACAAACTGAGATACCCTTCAGATGCCTGGAGAGAGAAGGCTCCAGGAAAGATAATTTTTGGCCCCTAAGTCCAAAGGGGGTACCTCACGATGGCTTGATGGGGAGTTAGAGACCTCAGCAGAACCTTGATACATTTTGAACATGTACTGAATGTTATTAAAATTAGTAGGAATAATCTGATTAAAACCTTAGTAAGATTATTATGATTATGATTATTATTTTGAGACAGGATCTCAAACTGTTGTTCAGCTTGGGTTTGAACTCACTATGTTAGTGAGGATCCTCCTGCCCCAGCTATTGGCAGTGCTACAATGTCTGCCTAAAACCTTAATAAGATTATTTTTGACTGGGTTAGTTTTGGCAATGTTAAGTGTCATTGACAATGTGTCATTTGTTCAATTTGTAACACCTTGGTGTCTTGAGACTATTCTTTCCCCTGCTCAGAAGACAAAGCCGGAGTCTTTTTACTGTTTGTAGCTCTTGCTAAACAACCATCTTATAGAGAAGAAAAACCCTATTTCAGAGAATATCAAGAATTTTTTTTTTTACCCTTTCATGAATTG